CAACTATATATTCACACAATAAAATATTTTGCACGTAAAATTAAAATTTTTCTTTACTTTTTAACCACACTTTCTCCTAAAAATACTATTCAAAGTTCTTTTTTTTTTTTTTAAAAAAATAATGAGCACCAAACAGGGACTTAATTTTGGAACTTCGAAAAGTACTCGATCCATGATTTTATAATTCATCTTGTTCTCATGCTTGTTATAAATATTTTTCTTCAAGAATAATGCTACTTGGGGCCAAGATATTAAATTAATAATTTGACAAGTTCATAAGATTACACGATATAGAAAAACAATTTGATTCTTATAGGACGGTCTTACTAAAGTAAATTATATGCAACTAAATTCATGTGGCACGTACGAGAAGCCTTCGTGAAATATGTATTAAATGTAGCTCCTTTTAATTTTTTTTTTCTAGTATCGTGAGTAGTGTTGTATAATCTCACCACACTTCAAAAAAAAAAAAATGTTATTCAAAACTTAATTTTAGTAGTCGAGTGATATTGGATTTGTTCGTTGCTCGCCACATTTTGTTTGATCGTAACAACAATAATCCATTAAAATCTACAAAAATATGGCTCTTTCGATTTAATATGGTCATAGTATATAATTTATGAAGAAATAATAAAATAGATTAAATCAATTACGTTATGACCTTTCAAGAGAACGAGACAAATAATGTACTAGTAGATAATTAAATATTAAAAGAACTAGCATTTCCATGCGCATTTATAATTAAAAAAAAATTATTTGTTTATTCAATAAAGAAACTTTATAAAAGACGACTGTTCATACCATGTTTTTGTTATATTATTTCGAGAATCTTAGTGTGGTGTCCTAACAGATAGATGAACAATGATTTTGCTGTATATGGTAGATAGGTCAACGAAAAGCGTTAATGCAGACAATAATTTTTGCATAGAAAATAAGATATGGCAAATAGAGAAAAGCGTGTTTTGTGGGCAGATGACACAAGGACAATGATAATATCTATCAATGGCATATTTAGCCCTTGTTTTGTCCTCATTAAAATTTTACTCTTTCTTAATTTTAATTGCACATTTTTCAAATAAAATAATATCACACACAAATCTAAAATTTTTCATTATTTTTCAATCACTCATTCTCCCATCAATCACTATTTTAAAATTTATAAATTTTCCAAAATGGGGGTCAAACAGTGAATTGAGTTAGGTTTAAGTTTTGCGATTTTTCAACAACATTTAACCAACATGAAATGCATACTATGGTAATCAAATCATGTGTTCTAAAAGGTATGTCCAGGCACGGGGCATGGAGAGAACATCCTCACCGAGATGACTGGACAATTTCTTGATAGGATTATCCCAACTGAACGATTAAAAGTGTAGTTGGAGCAAAATTCTTCTTAGTAGTTAGTGCTTTAATCCATTCGTTCGTAAAACTATTTACTCAATCGCGGACATTTTTGAAACATCTCTAACAGAGAGACAAATAGTCAATCTCAAAAGAACTTATCGTCAACCTCATTCAGATGCGAGTTTATTTGATTCAGAAGGGATGAACTTGCATTAGTATCTCAATTTCAATTCAAACATGGGTTTTATTCACAGGCGTCTAGGCTAGAAAAGACGGTCAACTCTAAGTTGACCTCCAAGGCGGGCATCGTTTGTTTGACAAAGTGTATATTCTTGTTTTGAAGTTCAGTTCAACAAAATGCTCAACGATTACTAAAACTTAAAAAGAAAATAAGTTCAACAAAAAATCCACCTTACCCAAACCCATTTAAAGAATATAACTTTCTTTGCCGACGAACAAAGCACTAATGATTAGGAATATTTATGATTTTGAAAATTATGTTTTTGTTGAAAGTTTGAAAAATATACACGAAATTTCTATAAATTTTCAAGGTACGTGTTATTTTATTTATTTATAGGTCTAGAATAATTAAAACAGAAAAAAAAAATCTTATTACGTCTAAACTCATAATGTTTGAGGCTTCACCTCAATGTCTTACTGCATCATTTAGAACAATGACGAGATCATAGCATACTTAGGAATCCTATCGTGTAATTAAAGTTTCACATTAGAGTTTTTTCAACATGTCATTGAAAATATGTAATGGCGATTAAATAGTTAAAACTGTCATGGCATAATTTTATAAAAACAGACCATTCGAGTTTTGAGGAGTTTAAAGGTGAAATTCAAATAAAAATATTGTCTTGGCTATTTTTATTTTATTTTTTTTTTCAAAGTTTTTATTTTTGCTTAATATTTTAATCTTGAAGTGAATATTCCCTTAAATAATGGCATCTTCCACTCTTGCTGATTTTAAAATGCCTGTCTACCTATTTTGATTTTGATTTTTTTATGGTTTTACCTTCCCTTTATAATAGCCACTTTTATTACTAATTACAAAATTATTGGCATAGCCAAAAACTACTTAAAGCACATAAAGCCAAAATAAACATTAAGAACATCTCGTGTTAAAAGCCTAACTTCACGGATTGCAACGGGGCAGACTGAGCGAGTGAGCGATCATTTACCATCGCCGTCGTCTAGAGTTTTTTGGAGTTGGACAGGGCCAAGAAATTTGTGGGCCAGGATTATAAATCTTCATTTATTGTTCTATTTAATTATTTATTTATTTATTTTTTAAAATACGATTAAATTGAAAAACACAAAAATATAATAAAAAGATTTAGGGTGGGTTCTGAGAATTCGTGGCCAACACCATATTTCCCATTTTCGTTTCGTTTACTATTTTAGGACGGGATTCCCCACCCCATTTGGGACGTGGTGGGACGGAGGTGAAAAAATTTGTGACTATGCACTTAATTCATATGCCAATTGTGTCAAAAATCACCCTAATAATAGTTAGGCCGTGTTTGATAGGCCATATTTTTCAGGAAAGTAGGAAAATATTTTCCACTTTTCACTTTTTTGGCTGTTTGATATGCGAAATTTTTCACGAAAAGTATTTTCCGAATTTTCCTCACACGTGTGCGTTTTCTCGATTTTTGATGAAAATGTTTTCCCGCCTTTTTGGTGGGAAAATATTTTCCCGGTTGGCTGGCATTTTTTTTTTTTTTTTTT